TATAGTTGGCCATAGTTTGGAGCCCGCCATTATTGCAAGATACATCAGGATCCGTCCCAAGTCTTGGTATGGACACATTTCTATGAGATTCGAAATCTACGGTTGCACTAGTGGTAARTAATATAGAAACACGTTGCAGGTACCGGGGCTGAAGGTTTACGACAACCGCTTCTCACCACAGCTTCGTTCCGTTGTGCAGCTCTGACTAGAATGCCGAATTCATCGCGTCATTCAGTTCTACCTTTACCTCGTTACCTTCAAATTCTATCATAGAATTCTAGACAATCGCCATGCACTGTACGAATGTATTATGTCTGGATTACATCATTCATCTACATCGTTCTCAAAACTCGTCCTGAGTATGATGGAGCAAAAAATTCTGCAAATCTGCAAACTATTTATGCGAAAGCCCTCAAATTCTCAAACTTTCCTTCCTTTCATGGATTCCACAGCAGCTATGTTTAAGATTTTCATACGGATTCTTTTTGTAACATTAATTATGCCATGTTGGTCGTTAAATGGTAGCCATGGAGACATTCGAAATTCATCTTAGAAACGTTGCCTAAATTTATAAAACCTCAGCTAAAGCATAAATTGACTATTCATCGTTAAAGCATGATGTCCGAAAAACCTCTAGGAGAAATAACCAGACCGATGGAACTGCATTCCCAAACTTCACCTTACAAAACCGCCATTTTGCCTGGCAGAGAAAATGGCACATTGCATAATATTTCATTGTCTAAGCTGCCAGTGCATTGTGGTTGACTAGGATTCTTTAACATGTTAAATTACTGCCTTCAGTTGCTTCTAAAATTCTATTTACCCCTTTTGAAAACGTTTCTTTTTATGTTCAAGGATTTCCAGTTCCTACCAGCCCAGCGTGTGGATATGCTCTTGGTCTTCAATCGCATGGTTTAAGAGATTCCCAAATGCGTGCCTCCTCTGAATGGAATTCCGGTCACCGGGCAGCTAATGGTAGGCTACATTTCCGTGCTGGTGGAGGAAGAACGGGAGCGTGGTCCGCTAAATACAATAATGCTGAACAGTGGCTCCAAGTAGATTTTGGAAAAATTGCTAAAATCATCAAGATAGCTACCCAAGGACGTCAAGATGCTAACCAGTGGGTGAAGAGTTACACGCTTTCTTACAGCAGAGATGGTGTGTTCTGGAA